ACACTGGTCAAGAAAGGGAATGCCACAAGCAAACCTTTCGGCTCTGAGAAATTAATTCTTTCTAGGAGCCTGTTGAAGTTGTGCTGCCAAAACCCTCCTCCCACAACCCAAGGCTCTTGCTGGGACGAGAACTTGTTGGCATTGTGCTACTGCTACAGCACCACTGCAAACCCTTCCACACATAATTTCAGGCCAGCAGTACACAACCATCATCACCTACAAGTCCCTGACAGGGACCAGCCACCACCACCACTCCCCTCTGCAGCTGCCTTCTCAGCACTGGGGAGGCAGCCCCTTTTCTGTGGGGACTTTCTTCTGGGAAGACATCAGAGTGCAGCAATAGGTCACATGCTTCCTTCCACCCCAGAAGCACAAGAGCAGGTCTCCTTTCTTGGTATTGTTTTTGGTTGGCTGGACAATAGAGCATTTCTGCAACCTCAGTTTTGGGTTCGTGGGCATTCATGGTTAAGGACACAAATGCAGTATGTGCGGTTTCTTCTTAAATGCAAGCAGTCTCATTTCCTCATTTTCCTCTCTTTGCCAGTAGTTTCCTAGAGGTCGAGTAGGAGGAAGGTGGTATGAAGTCACTAGTTTAAGCTTTTTCTCTATTGAGAAATCAGAATCTGCACTTTTAGGCACTGCTGGCCCTCAAAAAGAGGAGCCACTCTTTGCATCAAGCCCCATCCCAGCTTCTTGTAACAGCTATTTTCTGCTAGGAAATGAGAACTGGGGCAATCCAAAAAGTCCACCTCAGCTGCAGAAGAAAAATTGGGAAGGCTGGGAGGAGTATATCACAGAATCACAGAATGCTAGGAGTTGGAAGGGACCTTCAAAACTCATCCAGTCCAACCCCTGCCAGAGCAGCATCACCCAGACCAGGTCACACAGGAACACGTCCAGGTGGGTTCTGAATGTCTCCAGAGAAGGAGACAGCTAAGGTAAGAGAAAAGCAGTGCAGTGCATGTTGGATAGCACTACTATGCTCCAGGTTTCTGCTGGGAACAAGCAACAACAACAACAAAAAAATCTTTCCTGCTCACCAGTCTTTGGAGCAAGAGTTTGGCTATTTGAGGGTGGTTGAGAAGGGCTACATTCATATCTCTAGGATCTTCCTTGGCACCCACATGGAGAGACTTGGTCAGACTTAGACCAGGCCTGTCTGATGGAAATGTCTGAAAAATAAAAAAAGAGATTTTGTTTCTGCATCTTACATTCCCAGGGCCACTGACCACATCCTGAGATCAGATGGCCATCTTCAGCCAAGCTCGGGCCATGAAGTGAGCCTGTTGAAGCCAAAGTACCGTTTTTTCCCCTCCTCCTCTTCACGTGGTAGATAATTGTTTTCCACTGCAGATCTGTAAGTGGAAACTAGAAGCACTAGAAGCTCCCAACTGGCAACTTTCAGTACAACGCAAAATTCCTACTGTATTAAGGACACAGGATGCAATGCCTGCTATTGGGGATGTGCCAGATGATGTCTCATTCCTTCCCTTCTTCCATCCAGTACCCTGGGATGAATGTAACAAGTTCTAGGCCTAAGCTGCGGCAAGAGGCACAGGACTGTGGAAGAAGCCTTCAGTGGTAGAGACCACTGAAACAGCACAACAGGTGGCCTAAGGTAACTCTGAAAGCTTCCATTGTAACTTTTTCAGCTAACATCTGTCAGGAAAGGTTTTGGTCAAGCTCAGCTTGCTGTAGACCTGGAGAAGGTTCTTAGTGGATCTTGGGGCAGGAGATAGACCCTTCCAAACTAATTTCAGTGCTACTTTCAGTTGTTGCTTTGAAATTCAGCAGGCTTCTTCATTTTAGAGGGCAAATAACAGTTCTGAAGACAAAAGTATATCACATCACAGTGAAAGCCACCAGCCTAACTGCAAGAGATACCAGTACTATCACTGTGCTCTCAGGGCAGGTCTCCAAGAGCAGTGGTCAGCAATTCAGAGTCCAGCTGGCTGCTGGTTAGTGGCACTCAACACTGGGACCAACACTTAGGAGTCAATACTGGGGCTTCTTACACTTTAATACTTTTGCCAGTGAGCTGGATGACAGGATGGTGCAAATGGGCAAACCTGCAGGTGTTGCCAAATCAGGAGGAGTGGTTCATACACTGAAGGGCAGAGCTGCAAATTCAGAGGGACCTACGACAGGTTGGAGAAATAGGCTGAGAGGAACTTCAAGAAGTTCAGTGGCAAACACACAGCCTTGCCACTGGGATGGAGTAATCCCTGCAGCTGGACAACAGGGAAGAAAGCAGATTTGCAGGAAATGACCTGAAACGAAGGTGGACAAGCAACCTGGGAGTCAACAACACGCCCATGCAGCAAAGCCCAACTGCTCACCACAGCACAGCCAGCACAGGGAGGGATCCTGTATCTCTGCCCAGCACTTGTGGGACCATCTGGAGAGCTGGGTCCAGTATGGATTCCCCAGCACAAGGACAGGGACTTAGCAGAGCAAGTTCAGTGGAGCCTGTCAAGATGGTTTGGGCTGGAGCACACAACATGTAAGGAGAAGCTGAGAGTGCTGGGTTTGTTCAGCCTGGAGAGAAGGCAAAAGGGAGATCCTACTGTTATCTGCTACTCCGATGGGGAACTAGAGACAAACACAGGAAAAGCAAAAAGGCAACAGGCACAACATGAGAAATTGATGAGATGCAAGGAAAACTTTCATCATCAGCATGGTCACACTGAGATAGGAAACGGCATCACTTCTCTGGTCTCATCTCCAGAGCCAGACAACCTGTTCCAACTTTGAACTTAGCCCTTCTTTCAGCAGGGGCTAGACAAAGCAGCCTCCAGATGCCCCTTCCAGTTAAATTACCACTTCCCACCTCACACTTTGTGGGAAAGTGCGTTGGGAACATGCACTTTTCAGGTTTTTGATCTCAGAAACAGGGCTGACAGGATTTCCTTACTCGAGCCTTTGTTGTCTAGCAGGTGTCCCAGCTAACCCACTTTCTTCAGTGTGGAATCGATTACTCAGCTCTTCGGAACAGGAGGTTCCGTCTGCAGAGCCTTCCCCCAGCACATGCAAACAGAAGAGAGAGGCACTTTCTTGTGCCATACGTTGTATTTTGTTTCCGAACTCACTTGTGATGCTGTCAGAGGCTGTGTGCTTTCTTCAGATGTGAAATCCTCAGAGCTGCCCCAAAGTTTCTAGCAAACAAATCTAATGCTTTCATTTGACACCAGAAGCATAACAATTATTTGGGAAATCCCCCTCCCACACCCCTGAGTGGGTACCTTGGGTGATTTGATGATCTCACCACATGCAGTTCCTCAGGTTCAGTGTTGCTTTTCAAAACTTGTGTAAAAGCCACTGGGGTGAATTTTTTAAGCTAAGGCTCACTCTGTACAGCTATATATGTTTAAAGACGGAAAAATGGCAGTTTAGAGAAAGAGACCAAAAGAAGTCTTCTACCTCCTCTCTCCCACTCCCCTCAACCACACATTGCCATACCTTAAGAGACGTGACCTACCACCAAGTGTACAACTGCTCTCATCCTCCCAGGCCCTGCTGTAGTTCTCTGCTGTTTCCTTTCCCAGCTTCTTCATAACCCTAAAATGATTTTCTCATGCTCTGCACGGGCACTGCCTCTCACTATGCCTAACTCACTGTACCTAACAGCACATCCCATAAGGGGATGCAGGAAAGCCAGCAATACAGCGACAGCTGCACAGCCCCTTGTTAAAACTGTGGCCCAACATAAGCAGTCATGAGCATCAGGAGAGGAAGTTATTTTAAAAAAATTAAATTTGACAAATTTAAATTTGACAAATTTAAAAATAAAATAAAAATTATAAAAAATAACTGAGAGGAAACATCTGGGACCTGCACTGTGGGGGCACAGTAGAGAAGGAAACCGCACAGGAAAGGGGAAAGATGACAGGTCTTCTATCCAAATTCTTCCCAAACAGAGGAAAAGTAGAACAGAGGGGAACTATGAGCTTCTCCTTTCATATTCCCCTAGAGAAAGCTGTTTCAGTTCTTCTACCTGGAGGCATAATAAGCAAAGTCATCCTTCAGCAGGTACCTGCATAGGTGTGGTTAAAACCAGGTAATATAGTAATTAACTTCAGACATTTTAATCAAATTCTCATGCTATAGTAAGCCTCTTCCCTTCAGCATCCAAGGAGCACACAGCTGACTCAGGAAGACAGCAGAGTACTTGAAACGCAGCAGGAGGAAATTTGCTGTCCACGTGGAGAGCTGGGGACATGTATTTTTTATGATGAAATAATACAAGACATTTTGTTCATGCTGCAAATCCAAGGAGTCCACAACACTGAGACAGTGACTTGGTGTATGTATTCGGGAGTTGCTGTCCCACCTCAGGTATGTCTAGCTGCATGCTGGGATGGCCACATCATTAACTACTGACAGGCACAGAGGTTCAGCCGCTCCCAGAACACCT